CCCAAAATTTCTAGTGGTAGGTATATATATATATATATATATATATATATATCTCTCTCGGTACTCGATATAGATATATGCACATTGGAGGGTCGGGGGCCCAGGCAAGCAGAGGATTACCACTGCAGTCCGGGTGCCCCCAGACCGCCGGTCCCACGACAACTGTCATTGTTGTCATCCCCTTGCGACCCTGGCAGTAGTAAGCCAAAAGCGAAGTACCAAATAGGGATTAGCAAACTTGTAGTTAGGGGAAGCCAAGGTCGGGCAGGCAAATAAGGTCATGGAGACAATAGAAATTACTGAAGTGTACTCACCGAGAGCACAATATAACTGAGCCCCGAGACATAGATAGATGTGGTTATAATGGGCGTGCTGCCAAGGGGGATCGCATCGGCTCCTGAGTGAGACTCTGCGAGGGATCCTCGGGTAAATGGGACGGAGTTCCTGGCACACTGGCTTCCTTGCTAGCATACCAGCGTCTGAACAATCCTATACACCATAGCAAGCACAGTCTAGGGAGTTACCATAGCAACTGCAACACATATTTTGTAGTTGCTATGTGTGGAGAGCAACTACTCTAACCCTCACCACCAGCATCCCGATTCATGTGACACGGTATTGGGACCTATGCATAGAGCAACAATGACACACAGGTGAAGAAATCCGTATGGGTCGGGGAATTGTTCATGCAAATGCAAAAACAATCTACAGTAGTTATTCATTTATTTAGCTCTGGCATTCTGTTACATTAAGCTGACGTATAAAATAAAACATGGCAGGATACAGCCGTTCTTAGTATATGGCTTTTTTAACCCCTTAAACATCCCCTTGAGGACTGATGGTGGTCCTGAACCATCATAACAGTATTATTTACTTACCTGATCGCCAGCGTTCCCCCGGCGGCGATCGGCGTTGCTCCCAGTCTGGTCACATGGCTGCAATAGGTGTCCAAGTATTGGCCTGCAGGGGGACTGTCTGTGCTGACAGGCAATTTCCCTGCATGTGTAAAATAAAAAAATAATATATATATATATATATATCTATATAATATGTCTATATGTCTTATTATTATATATATGTCATACTTAAAAATACACTTATTAAATTGCATACGTGTATGTGTGTGTGTATATATATATATATATATATATATATATATATATATATATATATATATAATCATAAAATACAAATAAGTAAATTAAAATAAATTACAAAACCTAAAAATAATTTTACATTTTTTAAAAATTATTTATATATATATATATATATATATATATGAAAATGTATTCTAACTGTATTTTGATATTAATATATTAAAATTATATGAAATTATATATACATCTATGTATATATAAATAAATCAAAATTATATGAAATAGATATACATCCATATACAAAATTACATAAATTATTTCATAAATATACATGTAGACTTCAAATATATAAATATGTATATATATTTAAATTCTACGTGTGGATTTTATGTAATATTTTTACATAATTAAGTAATTTTATTGATTGCAATTTGAGGGACCTGCCTGACAACCCAGGCCGAAAATCCAGAGAATTTAATTTGCTAGCACTCTATTTAACCCTGTAATTTTCAATGACCCCCTAAAACCTGTACATGGGGGTTACTGTTTTACTCAGAAGACTTCGCTGAACACAAATATTAGTGTTTTAATGGGGGCGGGGCCTAGCCGTCGACCAAGCTGGTCGCACAGGGGAAGAGCTCCAAGTAGGAAACCAGCAAAAAGCGACAGAATTAAGACAAAACTCACTAAAATCGATATCCTAGGATAGTAAAGCATCAGTGACATTTCGAGACTCACCTGGGTGGTTCTCCTTGCTCGGAGCAACATCCTAAGTCCGGATACAAAACGCGGCCTGTCAGCGGTTGAACGCGTGGGAGAAGCGGCAGATCTCCCAGTGAGCGACGATGCAAGTCAGCACCGATGCCATCGGGACGCCCGTTCCCCCCCCCCCTTTCAGCCCGTGGGGGTTATACCGGCGCAAGCAAGCAGGCACTGCCACCAGGCACACTGAAGTCCCTGGTAACTCATCTGCCCCGGCAGCCTACCTCCAACTTCACCACAGAAACCAAGATGGCGGGGGGCTACGAAGCTGCACCACGAGGCCCACCCACGACATTGGAAGAGCGGCTCGACAAGCTGTTCAACGGCTTCTGGCAAAAGCTGCGAGATAGAGAGGCCCAGGCAAGGAGGGAGCAAAAGAGGAAAAACAAACGCACAAACAAGCCTCCGAACCCTTTCTCACCCCTGGCAGACAAACGGCAGAAGCAGCACATGGCTCCTGGCTCAGCGTGGTGGGAGAAGCGAATCACCAACCCAGCCGATGCTGGCCGAGCCCCAAGAGGTACAAAGGCCGCTACCACTTACTGAAACAGAGGTCCCACAGCAGACAAAACATAGGGTTCAGCACCACCAAGCGGCACTACAAACACCCAACCAGAGAGAAGCACTATGGCATCTGAGTCCTTGCCCGCGGCAGGATAACAACATGGGCTCTTGGAGGGGACGGGGGCCAGAGGGTCGAGCGAACACCGAACCATGAGTACCTGAGCATAAACAGGACGTTAATGGCACATCAGTCCATGGACAGTGTTCTGCCTAGGTGGGCGTAGGGTGAAAAGGGACGTCGAGTCCGAGCAATGGCAGACATTGGTGTGATACTTCTACCTGTTACTCTACCGCTTACTAATAGATAACACCTGACACCATTCTCATTTGCATACACATATTCAGTGTTTAAACAAGCAAAAATGCACTGACATCTCTAGTACCTCATTTGTGTTTTAACATATGTATTGGGGCTTAGCTTACTAACCCTGCTCTATTTTTGTGTTAAACTACATGTCACATACTACTGTAAAGCACCACTAGACTAACTCTTGCTTTAAAAACGTGTAAACTAGCAGTAGCTCGAACTGTATAAGCTTGACCAACAATTGACCTGTTACACAATCTGACTCTTAAAAACAAAAATGTGCTATGTTATCGATGCCATGCCAATGTTATAATATGTTTACAAATCTGTCTGCACCAGCTGTCGTGGCAGTGCAAACGTATGTTTTTTACTTTTATGCACAAAAAAATAAAGAATTAAAAAACTAAATAAAAATATTAGTGTTTTAAAACAGTAAAACATATCAAAGTGGGGGCGGGGGGAGAAATGGGGGGGCCTGCACACCATGCTAACCGGTTGTATGCGAGAGAGGCTCCTGCAGAAATTGCCCTTTTCCACAGATAATCTAGGCTCACAGCCTTAATCCGAGTCAGAGGGGAACAGCACTGTGCTCGAGCTGAAGTTGGCCCTTTGGCCCGGGGTGGATAGCCCAGTCTCCACTGGAGGGTACCGAAGCGGCCTTCAACAAGGCCAATGCCCCAAATCTAAAATGGCCGTAGCACTGACTCGCCGCCACATCGCCCGCCGAGGAAACCCCTCACTGCCTCAAAGGGACTGAGTAAACTCCTGGCACCAGCAACACATGTAACCAGCTACCGGGTTTTATCTACCAAATCCTCGAGCCAGGTGACATGGCAACCCACATGGTAGCACTACACCCTGGAGGGAGGTTCATTGGCACCGGGCCGCCACTGGCCTAATCCCTAGCAAGGTCTTGATCAGCTGCTCTTCTACCGGGCTGAGAACGCACAAGACACAGCCGAGCACCCACTACTCCACAACCGAGCTCAAGACTGGGAGAGGCGAATGATGTTGCCATACATGAAACAGGAAGAGATGGCACAACATGACCAACATGGGGCATGGAAGAACTGCTCGTTGACACACTACCCTGTCTTACAGAGACACTCGACTACCTACTCTATTTTGTGTCCAGTGGACATACTCACAAGCTCTCATATGCATACTCTGGTTGTATTAGTTAAATTTATGTTCAGCTTATTTATTTTTTCTCTACACTGCTGATCTACATTATTTACCTTGTGCAGGGATCTTTCCTTTATACATCACTGCCAGTGGTATACTCGCTACGAGGAGCTTAGGGTGCAGGGAGTTCAATCCTGTTCTCTTAATTTTTATTTTTTTTTATTTTTTTTTATTCTTTATTTTTGATGTGCAGATGGTCACAATATATCAACAAACCACCCTCCCCCCTACCCCTCTTATTACATGACACGTAGACCCGCAAAAGACCCAGGGAGACTCAACCCCCGAAGGCACCCATACTAACTTATGTCTCCACACAGGGAGGAATCAGTGAGTAGGCTGGCACCGAAAAGGGGGGCCGCGGACTACGGGATGCCGGGGGGGGAAGGGAGAGAGCGGACTACTAAAACGACATACGGACCGACACATCTAGGGGAGGAGGGAAGAGGGCGACGGAGGTACTGGGGGCCCAGACTCGCCTCCGCCTCAGACGCACGACACCACAACCCAAGCCAGAAGATCCCAGATCAGACCACGTCTTACAATAACCAGGACTGCCGCAGTTGACAGATAAAACCCCACTTACACCACGTCCGGCTGGACCCAAGACATACTATAACAACCCAGACAAGGCCACCCAGACGATTAGCGGTGAACGTATTACGCCCTCATGACTGGTACGGACACGTCCACCACACGAGTGACACAAACCAATGACCTAAGGTGACGACGCGACGACTAACGCAGACCCCACGCGCCTACATAAAAAGACACCACAGGAACACACCGCACACTCCAGCCACATCCGAAGACGAATCATGGACAACTAACCCTAGAGACCCCAAAACAGATCTGCCCAGGGAGAACAGTGGGTGGTCATACGGCTCAGGGGGCAGCACAATGGGCCTCCACATGAACTCGGACTGAACACAACCCCACCAGGCCCACTACGGCCTGAACCCACACATAGCACAGATACTAACCAGATTGGAACCCTCAATAAGAGCTCCTTACGGTATCCTCCGAGGGTCAGAACGCGCAGGCTGACACAACACGACTGGAGACGTAGTACTGTATTCACCAGC